GCTGGCATTCTTATTCTCACCTAGCCGGCCTCGGGACGACCCTCCCCGACCCGTTCCGTGCTTCGGTGCGTCTCCCTCAGGGTCAATTCCAGATCTTCGAGTTGCAGTTTGCAATTGCTAGGCCTGAATGTCCCGCCGTCCGATCCCTATTCTCACCATCCTCCTCCAGTTCGTAATCCCGTGGTGCGATCTGTATTGCCGCGGTCCACATATTCTCGCGGTACGGAGCAGTGTCGTGTTGTGATCAGACGGTCCCAGGTCCTCCTGCCCTCCGATCGTGACCCCGTGGGCTCGGCTACCGCCACTCTAATGGAGCGGTAATTACAATAACCACAGCGGCGCCCTGGGCAGGTCGCGGCGGACCGCGCGCCGCCTAACGACCGCCACCGCTAATTCCGCTTACAAACGACCCGCCGGAGGGCGCTGGCGGCGAATGACCCGCGGCTCGACCGCCCAGCATCCGCGAGTCATGACCGGAACGTAACAACAACAATACTACACCTGCAATACCAGCCACGAAGCACAGAAACAGTGCACGACCCTCGCCTAGCTGCAGCTTTCAGGCTTCGTTGTTTTGTTTATGGTTGAGCCCCTCCCCTCCCCGGTCCCCGCTGGCTCGAAATGAGCGTCGACAGCTGTGACGTCATATGCCGGCTAGAGCAACACGGTGTCAGCGTTATCAGCGTCACTGGCCGACGGATGAAGGGCCGGGCCCGCGGCGTGCCAGCGAGACGGCCGACCGGGCAGACCTCAGCACGGACGACGGACGACGGACGACGGACGAGGCTTCACGCCGGCGTCTGTCTACGTCCGAGGTATCAGTGATAAGACGGTCCTCTGTGCAGGAAGAGGTGATGAAGCAGCCAACATGAGCTACAGAATAGCACATTGCCAGCGATAGGGCAGAATCAACCTGTTTTTCAGTCACAGTCGGCCCGATGAGGGCTCACTGAACGGTCGAGTCTGACCGATGTATCCACCCCGCCCCGTCGTAGCGGCGCCCTGCTGACCACTGCACTGTGGTGGGAAGCCGTACATCGGTCTGGGAGCCATACAAGGCTCCGGTTAAACCGCCGGGAGGTACGCAGGGGTGGTGTTAGTGGTCAATGGTCAATGACCGATTATCTCCGAGGGGACCGTCTATAACACTGGGCTCGGTGGCTCCGTCTCGCCGGCCTCGCACTATCAACTCACCCCACCCAACACCCGACGTCACCCAATACCCCCAAGCTCACCCGAGAGTCCTCTGAGCTCCCCCTGCCCCACCCGAGCCGGCACTGCACTGCCGAGGTCACTGGAGCCGACACAGATCGCCCGGGCGCCCAGCCGTGCCACACTTACCCCATATGTCACCGGGGCTTACGGTGGCTTGTCGGGCTTATCGCGGCGTTGGTCCGACACGCCAGCTTCGTTTGTGTGTGCAGCTGCGCAGCGGATGCTCTGGGGTGACGTTGAAGGACGAGCAAGCGCCCCTCCCCCTCCCTGGCCGGTCTTGCAGTTATCCACCCCGCCTGTGACCTGCCATGACCTAGCCTTGTGACCAACTGTGACCTGCAGCCGCCCCCAAGCGCGTCACGGAGGGACGAGCAAGCGCTCCTCTCCCCCGCCCTGCCTCGTGACCTGGCCTTGCCGAGCTCTCCACCCACTCCTGTGACCCGCCCGTGACCCAGCCTTGTGACCCACCGTGACCTGCAGCCATCCCGAGCGCGTCACGGATCTCAGTGCCATGTTCGTGATCCGTCTCCGTCCGTGCCGCTCCGAGTACCCCGAGTCGACTCCACGACCCGTGACCCGAGCGGCCGCTCCTCGAAGACGAGTCAGCTGAGCCTTTTGTGACGCTCGGCCGCCCAGCCAGCGTGCACCCGTGCACGGGCCGTGTGCACGTCTGGTGTGCACGTGCGCGGTGCACGGCCGTGGTGAGCTGTGGCGCGGTGTGTTGTTACAACAGCGGATGTGGCGGGCGTCCGTGCACTTTCCACCAGTCCACAGTAGAGTTCATCTCTTTAAAAAGTTGAGGAGAGAGGGTCATTAGACGGCAGAGAGCCGCACAATGACCCGCTCCGTTTCACCGTGACCCGCGCTGAGCGCGACAGCGACCCGTGTCGACCGCACCGAACGGCCTCGTGACATGGTTCGTGTCTGGGACACATTACGGTCGGCCGTCGTGATAGCGGGGGCGGGGCGGGGGGCGGGGCGGTCCTCGAGACCGGCTCACCCCTGACCTTTCCGGTCGGGCCGGCGCCCCCCGAGGGGGGGAGGGGGAGACGGATTGATGTCGCCGCCGACGCGAGAAGAGTCGGAGATGACACTCTGTGGTGGGTGGGATAGGAGCTGCTGCTGATGGTATTGCAGGACCTTACCAATTTGTTATGCATGCAGCGGAATACGCGGTCATTTCCGGCGACATTCTGGCGTGTAATGTCACGGCGCTTAAACGCCCTTACAAGATCCGGGCCGCTGTTCCCGCGGTAATGGTAATCACTTTTGTTTTATGGATTTCCGAGTTATCCCTTCAAATGGTAGCACTGAGGTTTGGGACGACACCTCATTTTACTAGAATTACAATGAGATTAGTCAACTGAAACAACAGGATTTTACGCTATACTTTCCGCTGAAGCTGCTGAAACACGGAGGACAATGAGACATTTCACCGAAATGCATTTTCAAGAAGCGCCTCTGTCCTGATCCATGTGGCGTTTGTGGAAGTGCATCCATCCGGAATCTGCATACGGAGTCGGACCTTTGTACAATCACGCCCGCGGAGACGAGAGGCGCCCTGGAGGGACGGCGCTTTTCGTCCTGCCTGTCACCTGATCTCAATAGATCGGCCGACAAGCTCCCATGTCCAGCCGAAAACAAGAGCGTCCCGCCCTACCTTGTCGACGCCCAGGCGCTGAGCCGGGTGGGGCGGTGGGATTTCTCGGTTTGGGTCGGTGGGATTTCTCGGGTAGGGCGGTGGGATTCCTCCCAGACTCGGCGGGAGGACCGGTCGCTCGGACGGACTCCCCGCCGGGAAGAGACGGACAGCCGTGTCCTCTCACGGCCGGGCCCGGACACCGGGACAAAGGACGGCGCCGCGCGCCCAGATCCAGTTCCTGACACATCCTGCCCCGGTCCGTCACGGTCCGGCCGTCCTCCGGCGCTCTGTCGACCAACTCCCACTGCCTCGTGTCCTCCCTCTGTCCCAGTACGTGACGCCGACACCTTCTCCGTCTCGCCCCGTCTTACGTCCCGCCCCGTCCGGTCGCACCTCTGGCCATCCGGTGCTAATGGCCTCGGTTCACCCTCCACAACGGTGTGAAATATGCGTGGTCATCTGGCCTCCTCACAGTCGCTCGATCTTCCCCTTTCGTTCTTTGTTCTCTGAATAGCCCTCTTCACTTCCTCCAAATAGATTACATATAGCACCCTGCAGCCTGCAGCCTTTCATGCCCTGTCTTCATGCTCTCAGTTCCGGTTAGCGAAACAGATGTGAGATTTTCGAGTGATATGTCAACACAACCAGTAAAGAAACTGGAAACATCGAACACCATATCCGATCCGGCTATGCCGCAGCCAGTGACCAGCCTACAGGTTACCGATACAGGCAGCATTACAGTTGGGATGGGAGCGAACCGGTTTCCGACTCCTTATCGCCACTGTGGTCAGATCAAGGGCGCGATGACGGAGTGTCCAGTGTCTCCCGATCACGACATCCGCTGTCGGCTCATCTTCAGACTGTGATTTTTCCAATACGCTGTCATTTTGCACTGCAACTTGCAGCGCAATGAAACCTGAGCGGTGAGCAACAGAGGCCAGTTACAGGCAGACTGACCAGCGGATTTCACAACAGATTCTCAGGAGAACGACTCCGAGGGACACTCGGGTCAGACTGACGTGGACGAAACCGAACCAGGCCGGGACCGGAGCGGTTCGAGGTTGACGGACCGATTCCAGATGGTCCCGAGAGCCGACTCCATAACGTGGGGCGCTCAGCCGGCGCGGTTCGGACAAAGAGAGGCCAATGGAACGGAGTGGCCTCGCTGCTCCGCCGCTGGAGCGACCCGACGCTGCTGGACCGCACATATGTCCCCAGAATAGCCGCTGGGTGGGGACGGGCTGACTGTGGTGATGCAGAGTTGAGATCCACGGGTTAAAGATGACCTGCAACTTGACCCGGTCCCATGATAATCCTCAACATAAAAGCCTTTATAATTATATCAAGGCCAAAACGTACAACGGATCTTTACTTCTCACAGTAACTTTACTTTGAAGTGTCTTGGAATAGATGACATATTTGAAAACTATATAAACTGCTACATCTCGATTCGTCACTGCGACTCCACCGTGCATAATAAGTCGGGTATTCTTCTCGCATGTCCTTAGGTGTGCACTGTGCAGTTGGCGCGCCGAAAGGACATTGAGACGTCGATGCGTCGCGGGCTGGGTTCTGGGGCACATACCAAACCTTCACACCGAAAACTGGCAATGGGCATCTTGTAAATCACCGCCCAATAGCAGTCCCCTCTCGACATCTGAACAGACGCTTCTGTATACGCCGCTCCAGCGAGATACGGTCTTAATAGCGCCACTCGACCGTGTTTTCAGGCGGTTCGGTTTAATGCCTGTTTAGGGAGGGACCCCGTGTCGAACCTGTCCGTTCTAGTGGGTCGTTTACGACGCGGCGACCAGTGGCGTGGCTTCCTCTCCCTGCTCCTCCGTCCTCCCCGGCGGCTCTAGAGTCTCCAGAGGACGCGCGTTACGAACGTCTCGTCACCTGGACGTGGCGTCACGTCTTGGCACGTGGCGCCGCCGACCGTCTGGGCGGCCCCTGCACGTGACTCGTGCTAAAGCCGCCAGCGACGCTTGTCTCGCTAAATCATGTGCCAACCTCTCGGCATCAATTTGGTGCGACTTGAATTTATTCGTCTGACGTCACAGCGCCGGCAAATGAGCGATGGTGCTGTTTTTGGCCGGGCCCGGAAGGCTTACATTTCGGTGTGTGTCTCGCTGTGTTGCAGAGGGTTTGAGGGAGTACTTCTGTCGCTACGGAGACGTCAACGAGGTGATGGTGATGAAGGACCCGACCACGCGACGATCGCGGTAAGTGCTGTGCGCCGTTCCGCGTGCGCCACTCGCCGGGAGGAGGGCAAAGAAACTGACAAATATCCTGCGCTGAGCCCAGATCAGTTACAGTTTACACCCATGCCGAGCCAAAAACAAGGTGCTCGTTTCTTCATTGTAAGTCATAACGACGAAATTCAGTTATGGAGCGAAACAGTTAAATGTAAGCACATTGCATATTTGTTGAATGCTCATTGATCAATCCAGAAGTTGTAATTGGAAAACTTTCATTAGTCAGCTCTCAGCGTTTGGGCCATTTACGATATGAAGGCATGGGTTTACTTTCATGGTGAGGTGACGGTGCAGGTATTTGTGATTTTCTGTACCCTAACCGGCGAGCGCGGCCCCGGTTCCGACTCATTAGTCAGGAGATATGATTGGTCGGGACCAGCTAGGTATAGTTAGGAGTTCAGTCAGGTGTAGCCTTAGTGTCCCATGGTGTTTGTAATGGCGCCTCTCGCCAATAGTTATGAATAGATGCTCTAAGTAGGTCTAGGACAGGACTAGGAATTAGGGACTAGGTGTACAGTACCTTATCATAGGAATATGCATTGTAAGAATTAGGTATTTCTTCTTACTCTATTATCATTCCCTTCATCATATTCCTTTCCCAAGGTCAAAGTCTCAAATAATTTTTTTTTTAATTCCAAACTGTATGCTAAAAATATTCAAATAGAATAACATCTGTAATTCAGCCCATCCGGTCGATTTCGCTCTGAGAGCCCACTGGTCCACACTAGAGTCCACGCCGTCCACCGCCTACTGTCCACTGTCGGGTCTCTCCGTGAGACTCAGGCACATTTTTCCGGTTCATCTGATAGATTCGGCCGGCAGTGGCAACAGCCGCACCGCTGTGTCACCCTTGTCGGTCCCTTCCCAATGACGAGTGACTCCAATTTGGAGCCACTTGAACAAACTGCCCGACCGAAGGTTGGCATCATTTACCGGGTGTTATTGGTGTCGTCAGCCGCCTCCGGTGGCCCCTTCGTGGCCGGACCTTCCGGCCACCACGTGTGACACCCTCCGACCTCGGGTAGAGCACCGAAGGACCGTGCAGAGCGCCGCGAGCGGGCGCTCTCAGACATCGTCGAAATCGGCGCGCGGTTAATGACTCGACCGACGCCAGCGGCCGACTATAAATGCTAATGCCGCCGGGACGGGTGTTTGCTGCTGTAGCAGTCGGGATAAGGCGGGGGAGAGCGGGAGGAGGTGGGAGAGAGAGGAGGAGGGGGATGGGGAGTGTTTTGTCGGGGATTGCAGGGGGAGGGGAGGCCCTCGGGGACGCCAGATGATCTCGTCTGGGAACGCCGGGCGGCATCACAGCCAGCAGCATCAGCTTGATGACGCTGATTGCGACTTAATGACGCGTCAACGTCACTTGTGACACGAGTTTGGATAGCGGTGCCTCCGGCGATGGCGACGGAGGCCGCTGAGACGACCAAGAGCACCCAGAGACCACGTGAGCCCCGCGACTGGGGATCAGCGGGGTCGCAAACGACCGTACTCCCTGGAGAAGTTGGAACATTACAGCGAACCGGGAGCTACAAAGACCCAAATCGTCTCCGGAATCATGTATGTGCCCCGAGATTGGTTTCCGGTGCACCCTGTGCCTGATAAAATCTCCTTCCGTTCCGCCATTGCCAGACACTGTGCCTTTCACTGCAGCATATATTGCGACCGTTACCCCGCTTCAGACTCTCAATCCCTCCGCGGCAGACCCGCCCGTTCTTCCCAGAAGACCCGATAGCTCATCTACAAAAGACCGGGTCGTTCCCCGCGACAAACCCCTTCGCCCCCCCCCCCCCCGCGGCGCGGCGGCTGGTCGCTCTGTTCTTGCGCCGTCGACTGGGGCCCGGTTAGCGCCTGTATGACGGCGCCGCCGCCCGGCTCAGCTGCAGCTGGGTCATAAATCACAGCGTGTGCAGGCCAATCGATGTATACCGCTGGTCCCGGGCTGACCGAGGTCCTGCGACCTGCCCCCGCCCCGACCCGGGGCAGGAAGGCAGAGCAGGGGAGGGCGACGGACAGAGCAGGCCAGTCGATATGACAGCTGCAACTGCTGCATGTCCAAGAATACGCCGAGACTGTGGCGATATCCACAAATACACCGGGTAGTGTCACGCGATGTGCGGACGCCGGCCGTCACAGCGGTTTGGTTTGCGGTCACAGCGGTTTGGCGCCGATCGCGTGATGACGATAATGACGAGCTGATGACGTCACGCCGGCCTCGTCATCAGGCGTTATGGCACGTGGTAGGTGGCACGATCGGCACAGGGCGCTGATTTGGGGCAGCACATCGGGCGTGGTCGCTGTTCAGACTAAGGATTGGGTTGCAACGACCCCAATTTACGGTCGTGTCGGGACTCAAATGAGGGTGAATGAGGGCCGCCGTTGACTCTGGGTTGGATCGGATCGAAATCAGAATCGATGCTGAAGTCAGGGTCAAAAGACAGCGGCTGAAGCTGCATGTCTAAAAACGGCATTTTATAACTGATACCCGCGAGCCTCTGGCCGGGTCCTATAGCCTCTGCGCGGGCCGCGATCCGTCAGTCGCGATCTTCGCGATCTGAGATCATTCCACCGATCAATCGTTCCTTCATCCGCCGCGCCCGGCTCACGTGACATAGCCAGTCGGTCCTCGAAATCGGCGTCTTTGGCAGCGGCGCCCCGCCGCGACCCGACTTTGGCGACAGCGCCGCGTGTCGAATAGGGCGGCCATTCAGCCTGCCCGCCCGGCGCGGAGCCATGCGGCACTCACTCTACGTGATAGCGTTTCTCTCTGTCCTCTGTTCTCTGTCCTCTGCCCTCTCTCGAGCGTACTGAACAGCTTTGAGCGTCATCTCCGAGCGGCCTTTTACGTACGGAGCGACCCCTGACCTATCCTTTGAGTGAGAGCGACCTCTCCGTCCTGTGAGCGAGCAGCGTACGGAGTCAGCTGCGACCCGCCCACCGACAGAAAGAGCAAGGGAGGAGAGAGAGATAGAGATAGAGAGAGAGAGAGAGAGAGAGAGAGAGAGAGAGAGAGAGAGGGGGGGGGGGTGATGGAGCAGGAACAGAGGGCGGTACTGGAAGCGGCCTGCCAAGTCCGACGAGTCATGGTGAATTGTTACAATATCAGCGGAAACATGTCGCCTATGAACGAGCCTGCTGCTCTCAGGTCATCTCTTGAATCATGCAGAGACTTGCTGTTGCCCAGTGTCACCCGGTGACATTTGGTGTCATCCAGTGTCATGTGTCACTCGGTGTCACGTGGTGTCACGTGGTGTCGCTCAGTGTCACCGGGCGGCTGTCGAGGCGCCGCGCCCCGCTCAGTGACCGACCATCTGCCGAAGGACAGTTTATTTGTGGAGCGCCCGCCCCACCCCGCCCCGGCTGGACCGGGCGTTCCAGGCCGGGGGCCACCAGCAGTGACGTCAGAGGTCCCACCTGGACCCGGCCCGGTCACCGGGTCAGTGCCAGGTCTGGGGGACCGGGGGGACGCGCCTGGAACCGAACCCCGGCCTGCCACGCTGTAGAAACTCCATAGATGGCGAGGGAGCACCGGACGTTGTAATCAACATGCAACATGCCCACAGCATGCCCACAATCAACATGCAAGCATAATAAATCATTCACTACTTCATTACCACGAAGTTGTCAGTGATTTCGTTCCTGATGTCTGACTAGAGGCCAAACCAAAGGATGCAAACAACTACAAGCTCCTGATGGCCACCCAGCAACCAAGCGCTACGTTTATCATCCCCGTGTCCCATTTCTCATCCTTCTCCATCTCTTTCGTTTCTGATCAGCTCCAGTGTGACCGCCCTCCGGTCTGCCCGGTAACTGTCGGTCCGCGGTGGGTGGCCGCGCCGGGGCTGGCACGGCGACCTCCACTCGGCTCCGGCCGCTCCGGGCCGTTCCGGGCCGCTCCGGGCCGTTCCGGGTCGCTCCGGGCCGGGGCCGATCGTCATTAGTCCGACGGCGGCGGCGACAGGCCGGCCGACGCAGCGATATCGGCCTCCCGCTGACCGATGGCTGGAGACCAAAACGCTGACCAATGACCGCTGATCGCTGACCAATGACCGCTGATCGCTGACCAATGACCGATGACCGGAGACCAAAACGCTGACCAATGACCGCTGATCGCTGACCAATGACCGGAGATCAAAACGCTGACCAATGACCACCAACCGCTGACCAATGACCGATGGCCGCCGACTAAAACGCTGACCAATGACCGCTGATTGCTGACCAATGACCGATGGTCGGAGACCAAAACGCTGACCACTGGCTGCTGACCGATGGTCGCCGACCGAAACGCTGACCAATGGCTACCAACCGCTGTCCGACGACCACCGATCTCTGACCGACGACCACCAACAAACACTGACCGCTGACCACTGAAGGCGTCTGTGGTCCGACAATCGCTGACCGCTGACCGACAACCGCTGACCACTGTTACCAACTGCTGACTGGCGGTTACTCGGCCTCGGTAGCTGAGGTCGATGACTGACAGCGCTGGGGGTCTGGTGCTGACCACATGGTCAACCGGTTCAAAACTGACTTAGGTCATAGTTTACATGAGCTCATGGCTCGATCATTATCTGATTCTGGTCTAAGCTGACGTGATTTTCTGTTTGACCGCAGTCTGCAAGAGATAAACATATCCCTGACTTAGTTGACCTTCTCTGGTCCTATATTAACCATCTCCAGTATCAGCGGTCAACGGCGGATGACCCCGTCCAGCCGTTTGACCCTGACTGACCCCTCTGTCAGCAATGCACCCCCTGACCCACCCCGTCCAGAACTGGAGGACCATGTCTCTCAGTCCAGCGCCATCACCGCCGTCTTCCCGTCCCCCTCCGCCGACTGAGTGATGACCGCTAGAAGCTCGACCCCACGTCACAGACGGGCCAGCGGCGAAAATAAAATGTTGCCGTCCACATGTGGCCGTCGACGTTTCTGACGTCATCGCCCCGGTCCCGTGGTGGCCGGCCATA